GGTCCGATTTGGAGCCCAAATGTCTGCTGGTGATTGCTGTTTAGCCGCAGATCCTGCAAGAGTAAGTGATGGCCCAGGATATTGTGGTCCCTGCGGTTTGAGCTGAGATGTGCCTTTGCTCTTCAGTGACTTCCCTGACCTATTCTGGTGGCTCAGATCCAAAGTTCCAGCCACCACCTTAAGCTCTAAGTTCACAGCATGATTGACAAACCCCAGTACTTAAAATAACCTGGTCAAGTGCATTTTAGTTTCTTGTCTTGCATTCACTTCAAGCCAAAACCTTTCTTACCCTGTCAGAGGCAGGTGTCCCTTTTACTCCCCTTTCTCCTGGCTCCTCCCAACCCAGCACATTCCATGCTAATTAACAGCTGTTTAATTATCAGCCCAGCAGGGAAGTGATCATAGCCCAGTCCTTAGCCAGTTATTTCCCCCACTTAAGCTGTCCCAGATTTCTGGAAGGCTGACTATGCTAAATGCCTTAGGGAAAAGCAGTGTGGCTGAATGGAAAGTTCACAGCATTTGGAATCAATCGGTCAATCTGAGTAACTCTGCCATCCTTTTACACTGTTGGGCAATGGCTTCTGACCCTCCATCAGCTCTGACAATACTCTAGAGTTTTATTATACAGGTGGAGGGTAGTGAACACGCATTGTTAACTCTAAAATTGTAAGTAAACATGTTGGGTTATTTTCTGTTCTGTCCCTGGACTGTCCTTAGATGGCACACCCTAGGCACCCAAGAAACATCTGTTGACTGAGAAATTCTCAGTTGAGAACCAGAAGGAGAGGGGAAGGGTGGAGTTATTTGTGTTCCATATGTACACACATGACAAAGAAAGGTGTAAAGTTTGAGTCAGAACTGTGAGATATCCATCAGTTCCCTTTCTTTTTAAGAAATGGTTGCAAACTCTCCTGCTTTCCCATGTTTTTGCTTGGACATTTGTACATGTGGTGATTGGCCCTCTTCAGGGAGGCATTCTAAAACTGTGTATCTAAGTTAATTGTGCATTGTATTTTAGTAGAGGGGAAAGCTATGATTAAGTCATACAAATATCACCGGGATTGCATCCAAAAGGTGATGATGGGCATTAAAGGAAATATGCTAAAATTCAAAGGATAGAGAAGGGACAGTGAATCAGGTGGTCTTTTAGTAATTGTGAGGGATATTATTTAGGCACTAGGAAAATATTACCCTGTCATTAAGGAATTTATGACACATAGAATTATAGCATTGAAATCTTCCCCTGAGCTCTTTAAAATGTCTTGCAACCTCATCTCTCCTGTCACGTTTATTTCAGTTACAATATAAAACAACCTAAACAACCAATAGGAGGAAAATAGTTGGTAATTGACTCTTTGGAGGTGTAGGAATTAAAATACCATAGCTATGTAGTTGCACATTAAAAAAATTTTAGTAGGACACTCAGGGAAGAAAGAATGCATTGTTTTATCTACAGTATGATTGCTAATTATGTAAAACTTAAGTATAATTAAGAATTAGAACTGAACAAGAACCTGGAAATAAAATAAATAGACTTACATGGGGGAAAAACACTCCTGGAGTTATCACATTTATCTGCTAAAACATCCTGCCAAAGAGCACCTATGATGCTTGTGGAGGATAGGAAGACAGAGAGAGATGTAGAGAGACTGCTTCAGGCTGAAGATTCCTGAGCTGCAAAGAAGGGTGATGTCCAGGGACTACGGCACCCCAAAGCATCACTGGTTTCCATTAAAACCTCATTTATGGAATTAAAATTAATTTTATGAAAATGGATTAAGCAGTCTTTTCATTAGTGTGCTCCTGGTGTAATTGAGTTTGGAGTGACGAGTCAAGTCATTCCCTGCACTGAGGCTTTTAACCTCAAATCTGCTGTGGGCCTTTTTTTCCTAGACTACTAGAAACAACATGGAGATGGGAGTCTTCCAACTTCCCCCCTGCAGTTGGTAGCTGTACTTGCTTCCCAAAGATCCTAGGAAGGAAAGTTACTATTTCACAGAAGTTATTCATGGCTATGAGTTCAACACAAGAATCCTTCAATAGAAGTCAGTAAAGGTGTCCCTGTGGTGAGCACTGGGGATAAAGGCCCCCCTGTGAGACCAAACTAGGGGAAATGAGTTAGTGAATTCAGACTTCTTCCTTCCTAACCTGAAGGGATTCTCAGCTTAAATTTGTTTAATAGTAAAAGGTCTGGGGAAAGTCATGTAGTGATAGTGACGGCCTCTCCAGACTGAGAACCACCTTTTAAATGTTCTTTGTATTGATGAATTCCACACACACACACACACACACACACACACACACACACACACACACACACACACTCATGGAGATACGGGGCGCATGAGAACATAATGTTCTGAACCATTGACTCTATGTGATATAACTGGCCAAAGGCCCCAGCTGTGGCATTCTGAAAGCTACAGACCTGAAGCAGTAAGGCCACACACTTCCCACAGCTCCTCCAGGCCAAGATTGGCACACTGAGGCAGGCTCATTGCCCTGAAAGTCACAGGGTTCCAGCAATGCCCAGATTTGGGTCCTCAACAGCTTTCCAGTGCTTCCTTAGTCTACAGAGCAGTCAAGGATGCCATTTGGTCAACTTTTGTCATCTACTCTTTATTTGCTGTATGGTATCTTATGTTGTCTCTCTTAATAAAAATCTATGCATGTTTCATCCTATTTGGAGAATCTATATCTTAGAGGGGATATGTGCATATGTATAGGATGCACACATGAATATTCATATACATGCTATATCTGTAGGTGTGTATATAGGTGAGTTGTAATTCACCTTTTTTGGTAGACACAAACTATGTCAACACTTTTGCCATAAAAAAATTACCAATCCACCCCACTTTTCCAAGTACTCTGCTATTAGCTATACCACTACATTTGTCACCTTTTAGGGAAAGATCCACGAATTCAGAGCAACATTGTCAAAGACTTCTTGCTTATGTATAGAGTTCCTGGTCCAGTTTGAATTTTTCTGTCAAATGAACCTAGCCTTGGTGGGTAGATATGGGGAACACTGAAGTGAGAACTAAGCTCCCCCATGGAAGCGGAAGGGTTAAGTGAAATCTGAAGTCTCTCCACTCTTCCCACCATCACTCTGTCACTCTGGACTTGGTCCTACTTACCTACTCTCATCCACACTAATGAGATTTCTGACTGTCAATAGGAGTAGATTCTGTTCTGGATCACTTTCAAAGAAGAGATATCAGGAGGGTGCCAGAGGCTGCCAGTCAATGGGAGCTTGGAGAGTTGGCTTTAGATGGTCTACAGTGCCTGCCTTCAGGAGAGAGAGAGAGAGAGAGAGAGAGAGAGAGAGAGAGAGAGAGAGAGAGAGAGACAGAGACAGAGAGAGAGACAGAGAGAGAGACAGAGATAGAGACAGAGACAGACAGACAGAGAGACAAAGAGAGAGAGGAGAGACAGAGACAGAGACACAGAGAGACAGACAGAGAGAGAGAGAGAGAGACAGACAGAGAGAGAGAGTCCAGTAAGTGGACTCTGAGGTAAATGGGTCCCAGTATTCCCTGTCTTTGCCTCAGCTTTCTAAGAACTGGCTGCTAACAGAGAAGTCATCAAAAGAGGCATCCTGAGACTCAGGAAACCACCGCCGCTCCCATGACAATGGAAGTGCCCAGAATTTCACTCCTATAAGGAGCTCAGGCAAAGGAAGAAAGTGCCTCCAAACATTCTAGAGAAAATTGGGAAGAAGTAAACAGAGTGTTGGGTCACAAAATCTAATAGAAATAATAATAATAAATATCCAGTACCACCCTTTTGTGATGGTCTTTTATCCTTGAGTTTACAGGTGGTCAGAGTGGCCACTGCAATTGGATGATTCAAGTAGCGAATACCTAAGTGAAAAGAAATTCCCTGATTAGAGCCAAGTTTGGTCATGGCCTGGAGCCTGCTTGAACTAACAGCTCCCAAATTTCATTTCTATCCAAGAGCTTGGGATTCTGCCTGGCTGCCCAAAACTGAGCTGTGAAAACAAGGAAAACAGCACAGTCCTTCAGCCTCTTTCACAGGCCTCTCCCTTGCCTCCTGGAGCCTTGCAGTGGGGCTTGCCTGCTCCTGGGTAGGCGACTTTGTGTCTGCTGGGATTGTGTGTAGCTGATTCTCAAATACGAAGGCTGAAAGCCTTCAGCAACAGGAGCTGTTCAGGTTTTACCATGGACTGTCCTTCAACTCCTGTCCTTTTCCTAACAGAAATGCTCTGTTGTCTTCTTGTATTTCACTTAGTGATCCCTGACACCTCATCTTCCTCAGGAATACTTTCTCCATCCAATTCTTACTTTAAGGGACTTTGCCTTGAGCTGTTGTTAACCACTGATAGAGGCCAACACCTGCAGGGGCAAATGCCTGTCATAGGGTACCTTCAAAGTGTCTTTTCCCTTACTTTCAGATAAAGCTTTATGTCACAAGCTGAGCATGTCCAGAGACATCCAGTCTTTAGTTTGATCTTTTCAACATGTGTTTTAGGAATATCTCTCCTTCCTAAATTATGAACTTAAACTGATCATGCTCAGGAATGACTCTTTAACTGAGTGTGCTCAAGAATTGGGCCCACCCCTGTAAAAAATGTACAACCCACCTAAAGAAAACCCCGGATTCCTTTGATCTTGGTGGGGAGAGAGGTTATTGCTTTGAAAACAACTCCTATGCTTTCCTTGCCTATGGCTGATAATGAATCTCTCTTCATTTTTTGTGTGATGGCTCTGTCTATTTTGGCTTTGCAGTCACCAGCCTGTAAACTGACTCCATTCAGTGATACTTGCACCAATGTCTGGTTATTCTGTATAGCCACAAGTAAGTGCTCTTAGACAGTGTTTATACAATGAGATCCTACATGGAATAGTCTTACTTTTGCTGAAGAAAACAACATGTGTCCGAACACAAACACTGTTTACAAATAAAATCTTATTTCGTGGCAACAAATTACAGAAGAAGGTTTTTACTTGGGTAATCTAATGGTATTGTCATTCCAGGTAAAGATGGCTCTGCAACAAGAAGGATTTGACCGTAAAAAGAGAGGGTACAGGGACATCAACGAGATTGACATCAACATGAATGATCCTCTTTTTACAAAGCAATGGTACCTGGTAAGTTTTTTTGCTGTTTATAATGGCCCTCACTCTGAAAGATGAACTATTTCTTTGTTATTTCACAGCACAATAGGCATCATCCAAGTCAATGAATGCCTCGATGCCCTCCAGTAGGCTTGATTTTTCTATCTATTACCTCCTATGCATCTTACTCCCTAAGCTTCTACCAACAGCAGATCAGGATCACATTGTCCTAGATTCCAAGCAGGTACACCTATATGAGAGTGAAGACAGGGAAACTATCTGAAAGTCAAATCAAATATTTAGGAGAAGTAATCCAGAAGTGTCAACATGCATTGAAAGGTGGGAGGGATATATTGGAGTCATAGTTACAAGAGTAAGAATCCAGGGTTTTCAGGTGCAAGAGAACTAAGAGATTATCAAAGGTGGCCTTTCAGCACAGTCTAAAACAATATTAGTGAATCAGGATTCACAGCACTGAAACCTAAGCTGCCTCATGGCAAGTACTTTCTGTAGATACAGTCAGTCCATCATGACCCTGTAGATACAGTCCATCATGATCCCTGTTGATACAGTTCATCATGGCCCCTATAGAGTCCATCATCACCCCTGTAGATACAGTTCATCATATCAACCTCTATGGGTTGATTGAGCTATGTTTAGAAGAAGATTAACTGGGGCAAGAGGAGTGACTCAGGGATTAAGAGAATGTTCTCTTCTTCCAGATGACCCAAATTCAGTTCCCAACACCTATGTCAAACAGTCCACAACTGTCTGGAACTTCAGCTTCAGTGGATCCCACACCACTGGCCTCAGGCACCCACACTCACCTTAATAAACCCACGCATGTACACATAATTAAAAGTAATAAAAATAAATCATTTTTAAAGGAGATCAATGACTCCAAATCAACCTAAGTTGCAGAGCACATTATAAATGACTGATTCATAAATGTGAGCAATGTCTTATTTTATGTAGGATTAAAAGATGATGAGCAAAGTAGAAAATTAAATGGCATAGACTACTACACCACCGGGATGCATCCCAGTTTCTCTCCTGAGGCTTCAGTGTTTGGCTATGCCTTATGCTTTTGGACATAGAATTCTGAAGGTTTTGGTAATTGAATGAGCTTATGTATGTTAATCAGGATGGGGTAGGTTTGTTTCAATAACAAATAACTCCCAAATCACAGTTGTTTTATTTTTTATTTTTTATTTTATTTTATTTTTTATTTTTTGGTTTTTCGAGACAGGGTTTCTCTGTGGCTTTGGAGGCTGTCCTGGAACTCGCTCTGTAGACCAGGCTGGCCTCGAACTCACAGAGATCCGCCTGCCTCTGCCTCCCAAGTGTGCACAGTTGTTTTATAAAGCAAATGCTTGTTTGCTTATTTTTTCTGAGCTCTACCCTAAATGCCTCCACAGCACCTCAGCAAGGAAAAGGAACAAACTATACACAGCTCTTGAAACTTCTACCTAGGTGTGACAAGTAGCACTTGAGCTCACATTGTACTGGCCAAAACCAGTTACATGGCCATTCCAAATGATAAGTGGGAAGAGGAAGGAAAGACCGGCATAATCTTTAAAGTGTGCCTGGAAGGAAAAGAATGTGTTCATGTGGATGTTTTGTGAAGCATATTCATGACACTAATGACATTAAAATAAACTCTTAGTAATAAAGACCAGAATAGCCTCTAGCCAAGGTGATCCTTTGTCAGCACACACTCCAACTTCACTATTTGTTCATAAACCATCATTGGGAAAATCTGTACAGACCATACATGCATGGAAAGAGGCTAGTGAATATATTATATGAATCATTCCTTCATCTTTAAAAAGTGAAGGAAGGACTGGAATGATAGCTCAGTCAATAAAATACTGGTCATGTAAACATGAGGATATCAGAGTTCAATTCCAAGAAACCATCTGAAAAACATTTGTAATGGTGCTTATAATGGTGGCATGCACTTGTAATTCCAGAACTAAGGTGTCAGAGATAGGAAGACTATTTGGGCTCATTGACTAGTCATCCCAGACTACTTGGCAAGCCCTCAACTGTCTCAAAAAAACAAAATTGTCATTAGGGAACAATGCCCAAAGATGACCATTAACCTCCACACACATGCACATACACACAAGTGTTCAGTGCACACACAAGCATCCACATGAATACACACAAAAACCAAGGAGGACTTTAGTTTTCTGTGTCAAAACATACATTGGAGAATAGCCACCTATCTTGAGTTTAGTTCAACAAATATTTTAGAAAAGGATTCGGTGTGGTGGTACTAAAGTTCCCAAGGTAAAAAGTTTCCTACAAAAAGAAAGGTTTTCGCCATATAGTGAAAAAAAATGTATCAGTAAAAACCCAAGAAATGATGTTCTAAGTTCAAAAAATGAGCTACACCAAGCTTTGACAGGAAATGTTTCATTCCCTATTTGAAGGGTTTTCTGTGATGGCCTCTCCAAGATCATTATATAATTTGATTTTAATTTTCTGGGTGGTGCCCTGAATGAAAGCTAGAGCTTTGTGGGTGCTAGGTAATGACTTTATCACTGAGCTATATGCCTATTCCTCTTCCTGTAAAACGGATTTAAAGATGGCAATGTAGTTTTGAGACAAGGGCATTAGTGCAGTTTCACTCTTCACATAAGACAGAAAAATCAAAGTGAAGCCTCTAAGGGGTAAAGTAGGCCACCCTAAAGCATGTTTCATGAAGGGTGTGGCCCTATGCTGGCCAGGCAAACCATGTCTGGCAATCAAGTGCCAGTATATGTCACAGCACCAAACCGATCTGATTCTCTGCTTTGAATTCCTCTATCAGTTCAACACTGGGCAAGCTGATGGCACTCCTGGGCTAGACTTGAACGTGGCCGAAGCCTGGGAGCTGGGATACACGGGGAAAGGAGTGACCATTGGAATTATGGATGATGGTGAGTATCTCACAGCCCTCTAGTCATTTGCAAGAGAGTGCTTTTTATGCCTCTAGACAAGAAAGATTTGTGTTTGATGGAGACTAGTCAAGCAATTAACAACGTTGATGCTGGACCTGATGGCCATACCATTCCTTGACAAAACCCTCCCCTTCATCCAGATCAGTAATCATGATACTTCCTGATGATCTCAACAAGTACTGCTCGAAATGATAAATAAGAAACTAAAGAAACCAGTTGTCCTTGACTTACTTTCTTATTAACTTGATCCTTACAGCTTCGCTGAAATGTCTTTTGAAACCTATGTATGTTTGCCTCTTCTGTTCCTCTAAATCCACACTACACAGCCACTGACCAGGCATGACCACTCAGAGTTAATAATTAAAGCTAACAATAATTTAAAATTCAATTCTTCACAACAGCTCCATTCCACATTTTAGTGTTTTGGTTTTCACACTATAGGGAATCAAACCCAGGGCCTTGAACCCAGGCTAGGCAGTTGCTCTACCACTCCGCTATAGTCTCAGCTTCCTTGTTTTATTTTTAGGTAGCCACATGGGCTATTTCAACTGCTAAAATTTAAAAAATCCATTTCAGTAATCACAGAAAATTCTATCTGAGAGTGTGACTTTGGGTCCCTGACAAGATTGAGGTTTGGAAAATTTGACTTTAAGGCTGCTTTCAAAATGAGCCCCTGTCAGGCAGTCTTCGATAATGTTCTGTCATTGACAGCTCCGTATGTTACCCTGCTGTACAGGCTAGAGATTTCAGAGTTTTGTGAAGTATTCTTTTTCTAACTGGGCATGGCCTTGCCTCTGGTGAGCTCTTGCAGCATCTCTATCCCACAGTCATTTTCCTGGGATGTCCCTGCCCCGTTGGTCAGCTCACTGGATCTCCCACTAAAAGTCCCACTGTGCATTACATTATTGGTTTAATTACCTACAAAGCCTACATAGCAGTGAAACAATAGAGCCTCTCCCTTCTGAATATCCTCAAAGAATACTGTTGACTGAAAGCAAGCCTTTGAAGCAGAATTGATGGAGAAAACAAGGGAAGGCGGCCTGCTCCAAATCTGTTCTGTCTTTGTGGAAGCTCATTAAACAACAATGTGAAACAATGGCTCCATAAGCCTCTGATGTGTGAGATGTTTTGAAGTGGATGTAAAAGCCTTCCCTGGTGCTGAAAGCTTTCCCTGGAAGAAAGGAACTGTGTGGAGAGATGTCAAAGCTTATGCACATTTTCCCCTCTGAACATTCTGGTTTAGACCCCTTTCTGGACCAGCTAGGACCAGATCACTCAGAAAAAGAGGTATCTAAATTCGGAAGAAACCACTTAGGATGTACTGTGAGGGCCATTATAACAGCCCATTGGGTGTCCTCTGCTGTAAATAAAGAGGCCACTTTAAATGTGACACAACAGTGACAACAGACACACTGCCCCATCAACTTTCCAACAGCACTATAGATGCCTGTTTCACTTTCTGTCCATAGCCTCCTTGAATGACACGCAAGCCATCCCTTCCAAAGATAGCAAATGAGAAGATGCCTCACTCTGCCTCAGACTGAGAGGCAAAACACTTTAGAAAGTCCCAGAAGGATTTCCTGAATGGTCTTAGTTCTGCACATGAGTGGTCTTTGGAATTCCCCATAAGGTGAACTCACTGTCTCTCAATTAAAATTCCTGAATGCTTTATTGTTTTGGTCACATCTTCCATAGAACAAACCACCTAGATAACTTTTGTAAAGCTATGTCTTATAGCTCTGTGAGATGATGGGCTCTGCTGAGTTGTTCTGTTGTCTCTAAAGGAAGGGAAGAACATGTGTTCCACCACAGTCAGTAAAGCAGGAGGACCTGAGTTGCAATCCTTTGCACATATGTAAAAGCTGAGTGAGGCAATGCACATCTGTTATCACAGCATTAGGGATTGAGGTCAGGCAGCAGAGGCTGGCAGATCCCCAGAGCTTGTCAGTAAGTCAGTCTACCTGACTCAGTGAGCTTGGGTTTCAGTGAGAGACCCTGCCTCAAAGAATTAGGTAGAGAACAACTGAGGAAGGCATCTGACATCTACCTCTGGCCTCTACATGCATAAGTACACATACACATGTATACACATCTGCAACACACAAAGAACATGGGTTCTGTATATTCTACCTTAAGGGATAATCAAATATACAGGAATATTAAAATACTATCTACCAGGTTATTATTTTCACTTAAATCATTCTTTTATTGCTAGAAAAAATGTCTTTCATCCTTCACAGTCCTATTATTAGTATTTGATGGGGGATGGACAGGCAGGATGTAGCCAGGCAGGAAGTATAGGTGGAGCTACCAGACTAAGAGAATGTTGGGAAGAGGAAGGTAGAGAGTGAGTTGTCAGGGAGACACCATGTAGCTGCCAAGGAAGCCAGACCATGTGGAAATACATAGATTATTATACATGGGTTAATAATGAAGACACAACTAGCCCATAAGAAGCCTGAGTCATAGGCAAAACAGTTTATAATTAATATAAGCCTCTCTGTGTTCATTTAGGACTGAATGGCTACAGCACCAGAGGGAACAGAAACTTCTGTCTACAAGTATTTTCTTTCTAAAGCCCAAGTCTGCAGTCATTCTAACAACATTCTTTCTCTCAACCTACTAAAAGATTATTTATTATAATTACAGTAAATATATCATATTGAAATCTAACTCCCTCTTGGTCTTATATTTTCTCTTGGCCATTGTATTTCCCTTCACAGAGAAGAGATTACCAACTCTTAAATAAAGTCCACTCTCAGAACATGGAATTGTGTTTTTAAAACTGTCTTCCAATTTTAAAGGCATGCTCTTTGTGTGTGCTGGGGGATGGAAGTGTTTAGCTTAACATTTGTTACAAAAATGTTTGCCTAACAATGTTAAATATTTTCAACAAATATATATAATTTCATCTCAACACACATTTTAACATCAAGCCAATTTCTAATTTTTTCTGCTAAAAGTACTCCAGTGATGTGATAGATTATTGTATTGGCTACTTCTCTGTTGTTACATCAAATACCCTGACAGAAGGTAAGATAGGGAAGAAAGTCTTTACTGTGACTTACAGTTCCAGAGGGAAAACAGTGTATTATGGCAGGGAAGGCATGACAGCAAGAGGGAGAGGCCCACAGAGGTAGTCAGGAAGGTGACTGATGACATTTTATCCCATACAGGAGGCAGAGAGAGAGAGAGAATAGGAAATGAGACTACAAAATGAGCATCAAAGTCCACCTCCAGTGAGTTCTCACACTCTAAAGGTTCTACAACATTCCCAAATAGCACCACCAGCTGGGAATCAAGTGTTCACAGGCATAAGACTGTGGGGATAATTTTATATTCAAGCCACAAATTCCTACCCTTGAGTCCTATAGTCTCAAGACTATCTCATAATAATACATTTAGTCTAATTTCAAAAGGTAAACTCTTACTGTAAACCCCCTTTAAATCAAAACATAAATTATATACTTCTAACATATAGAATATTCATTCCCCATCTAAAAAGAAGGATTTAGGACATGGTAAGGAAATATTGGACAAAAACTAGACTGACACCAGGAAGATAAACACCAAAACCTGTAGCTTCATGTCAGGCATCTGGGGCTTCATTTCAAAGAGCATACGTGACTCCACCCTCCAGGCTCTGCTACTTGTCATGTATCTCCCTTTTAGGCTAGCTCTCTACTCCCTGAATGCAGTCCTCCTTAGCAGATGTTCCACAACTCTGGCACCTCCAACACCTTGGAATCTCCATCACAATCCAGGCTTGATCTTCACAGCTTCACAGAATAGCTTCTCAGGGCTTCTTCACAGGGATTCCAGAGAGTCCCTAATCACAGTAGCTCTCTGAAACCACAGAAAAAATTGTGACCCCACTCTTCAGTCTTCCATTTTTCATGCTTCCAGAACCAGAACACTGCCAAGTTCTGCTGCCAGCTTGGGACGGAGCCTAGCTCCCTTGAAACAGGGTTGTAGTGATTCTACACTAGGGCTGACACTGGCGAAATTCTCTCTGGGCATTTACTTTCTAAGACCAGGAAACCAGGAGTCTCCCTCCTTTCAGAGGGTGTGTCTTGCCATTGGGGCACCTTTCCTGTAATTTCAGAGCAGAGCAGAAGGCTTTGACAATGTCAGGAAGCACTTTAACAGCACAGTTCTTTTCTGTGTATGCCTGGGCTGAGCCTTAAGCTTCCTGGTTCTCCCTTCTCCCCATTATGTGCATTTAATCAGTAATAAACATTCCACAGACTCAATGCTATTCTGTCTTAAAGTTACTCCACCAGAGAAATTAGTCCATTACTTTTTAATTCAGCTTCACGCAAATTCTCAGGACACAGGCAGAATACAGCCAGATTCTTTGAGGAAATGTCACATGAATGGCCTCTAACCCAGATGCTAATAAAAATCCGTGTGCCCTCTAAAACTTCATGAGCTGGGTCCCTACTGTCCATTGCACCACGGCACTTCTGCCTTCTAAACACCTAAAAGAACGGCCCATTAAGTTCTGTTTGCACTTAACTTTTCTAGTCTGAAGTTCCAGAGTCTTCCACTATTCTTCAAAAAAAAAAAGCATAATTAGGTCTATCACGGCAACAACCCCACTTTACTCAAGCCAATTTTTGTATTAGTTATTTTCTATTGCTGTAGTAAAATGCTCTCACAAAAAAGCAAGTTGGAAAAGAGGGTGGGGAAATTGTTCTGATTTACAGTTCAGGAAGAAATCCTGGCAAAGGCATGGTAAGAGGAGTTTGAGTCCCGTCTGGCCATCAGGAAATAGGTTGACCACATCTCACCTCATACAGGAGGCAGAGAGAAAGAACAGAAAACCCTCAAAGCCCATTTTACAGTGACATACCTCCTCCAGTGACACTATACCTCCTAAAGGTTCTGTAACCTTCCCAAGCAGGGCCATCAGTCAGGAATCAAAAGTTCAAACATGGACCCAGAGAGGTCATTTCATATTCAAACTACAGCAAGATTTCTAACAATGATAATAGGAATTCGTTAACATGTTTGCTATAAGCCAAACACTTCCATGAATTGTTTCTAATCTTAAAAAGATCTCTTAGCCCCATTTCAAAGATGACAGAGTCAAAGCACAGAGATACTATGTTATTTGACAAAATCAATATCAGCGTTGCATCATCTGGCCCTTGAATAGAACTGGATCTGTTGGTCTCAATGCGTGACTTCACCCCAACTCTGAAAGGTCACTTTTCTTCTACAGATTTTTGTCAGAAGAGTAGAAAGCAAAGGCACCATGCCCGTGAGTGACAAGTGACTAGCTCTACTCTCACATCATTGTTCAGTGACTCTCGGCCCAGAAATTATTAGTGTGACCTGGAAAAAATGCAGTTTTCCTTTAGGAATATATGCATCCTAATTTAAAAGTTTTTTCCACCACAAAGTCTTAGGATGGCTAGCACAGCTCCAATAATAGTGGCACAGCCTTAGTATGTATGAGGGGAAGATGCCAGCAGAATGTGTTTAATGGTACTTGTAAGTCTAGCATCCCAGGATGGTAGTAATTAAATGCATCAGCTACTAGGCTAAAGATACCATATGCGTGGGCTTGTTTGAGTCCTGCCCTTGCCTCACCTCCCATTGTTCAAGAAGGAAACAATCACAGAAAGTCCAAACAGCCTCCCTGAAGTCATATTGCTGGTTACCATGGCAGTTAGAAGTCAAACGCTACTCTTTGACTCCAAACACCTCCATTCATAACCATGACCATGTGTAGTTCCGGGGCCCTGCTCTGTTGCTGTTTCCCCACCAGCCATATGCACAGGTACAGCATATGCAGAGCTGGATGAGAGCTTTTCAGTTGCCTCTGGGTTTCTACAGTGAGCTCTGAGGTCAAAGTGTCTGATGGAGCACAACAGCATCAATAGGCCATAATTCTACCCTGGGAATGACTCCTGGGCCCAGAACAGGCTCCCTGCTCAATAGCAAACACAGAACTCCAGCTGAGGGAATTGGAGCCTTTGACTTTCGAGAAAGGCACGTTCTGGAGAGACTAGCATCAGCTACCAGCTAGCAACACCTCACTAGAAACCACTAGCTTTCTCCTAATGGCTTTTCTCGCCTGGCCGTGCACCTCTTATTTCCATGTTGGAGTGTGCTCTCCTAATCCACGCTTCTCCATGCCCTGTTAAATAATCATCACGTTTCCTCCCCAGGGCCAGCTTCATTTCAGAGGAGAAGCTAGTTGATGCTTTAGAAATGTCAGGATTTCTACAAATCTCTTTTACATTGCCACTGTGATGAGCCGTCCATCTCACAGTCACTAAGCTCCTGACTGCTGACATTTATCCGGAAGCGTTATCCGTGAGCCCAGAGCTCTAATTGGTTTCAGTGCTCTGCAGTGTGTCTGGGGGCCGCTGTCTCTCCACCAAGAAAGTGATACAGCTCTCCCCCACACAGAAAGGGAAGGCAAAGCAGGGGCTTCAGGATAAGCATCCTCTTCCCCACCTCCTACTCCCCCAAGTCTCCTGTGCCATCATCCCTGCAAGGAGCATCCATTCCTGGGTTGCTCTCTTGGAAACACAGTGGCAAGTATTAACCTTCCACTCCTGTGTTATCTTTTCACAGGAATCGACTATCTCCACCCAGACCTGGCCTACAACTATGTAAGTACAAGCTGATTTTAAGGTGTGGGGAATGTGTGCTTTTTAAGCAACCTGCTGCGTCTGGTTTTCAGAAACACACTCAAGTATATGCAATATGCATACATGCAGAGAATCAATATCCACACATAGGAGCACATGCGTGCCCAATGCAGAAACAGTCACACATACACACACACTCAAAACTCAGATATTCATGGGAACACAGATTCACACCCACATTCTCCAATGTGCACACTTGTGTGCTTACACACACTGAACCAACCCATCTTGTTAGAGCTGTTGCTCAGATATTGCAGCTAGCCAAGTGTCAAATGGGTGGCTTTTTTTAGAAGAAAGGACAACAAGCTGAAGTTTGGAGGAACAGACTACCAAAGAAGGTAAATAAAGGGAGAGGCAGAGAGGAGAGCAGCATGGCAAGGCTTGAATCGCCACCAGCTGCAATCCCCAAGTAAAAGGGATAATCAAGTTATCTGGGTGCTCATTGGCCAAAACTAGAGACTAAAAGCCAGAAACTGCAGCACCTTACATTGCAACCATCACTCTGTGAGAGGAAGAATGAATAGTATCTTTTAGAACAGCTTTGCTGTTCTAAACATTTCACTGAGCCTCACCTTTAAGACCCCTCTACAAGCAAGTACCATTGGCACAGATTCACAGCACAACAATGGGTCAGAACATCACACTTACTTTTGCACCCAGCAAGTCATATGCTGTTTTCCCGATAAACCTACAAGCCCTTTAAATATAATCGATGTCTTTGTTTCAACCTCAGGAGGTACAATACGTAAGCATTGGCTTGTTCATTTAAAGTAGCCCCAGCAGAGTTATGCTTTCCCCATAAACTCGAGAACTAAGTTTAAAAGACATAGTCTTAGTGACTGGAGACTCCTCCCCTTAAAACAGGGCATAAATAAAAGAGACAGTTAATAAGCAAAGCCATTCTCCAGTCACCTTTCAGGGTCCTTTGCCCTAGATGTGTCTATCCATACTACATAGAGGTCAAGAGAGCTCCCCTGTGTTTTGTGCACTGAGTGTAAGGAAATGAGACAAGTTTTTGTTATTTGCTGCACAGGTCTTAGTAATATAGAAACATAAAGATAGAACTAAAAATCTTCTCTAATACATATATGTGTGTATAAGTATATATGTATATATAAGTATTAGAGAAGATGTATATATGTGTGTGTGCATGCGTGCGTGCCTCTGTGTGTGTGTGTGTGTGTGTGTGTGTGTGTGTGTGTGTGTGTGTGTGTGTGTGTGTGTGTGGTCATTCTGTCACTGTGGCTACCAAGGGAAATGACAGAAAGTTAAACCAAAGCTTTATTGCAGGTGATAATAACCCATTACTGTGGAGAAGAAAATCATGGACTGTCTGTGAATGGCAGTCTGCAACAGTGATCCTGGGGGAGGGTCATGTCTAAGGAACCCTTCCCTAGCTCTGTCCCTGTGGCTACCTGCCCTGCTGCCAGCCCCATGTCTGGCTGTTTATTCACTCCTGAAATTGTCTGAACTCCTGACAACTCCTCATACATCCTTTTTATGGGTCCTCCATCAATACAGAGCCCTGAGATGTTGCTGAAAAGAGCAAATATTTCATTTTCTGCAGTTCTCTGGTATCCCAGGGCCTTCCCTCTTAGAGGCATGTTTTCCTCAGGGATGCTATCCTGCAGCCTAGGAGAACTGCCTACACTCACAGAGGCACTGGTATTCTCTATAATTCCCTCAGATCCAGAGACCATGACATCAGAAGTAGCCACATGCAGCTCTGTTCCATTTCCTACACTGTCACTGCCTTGTCTCTTGGAGTGCCTCAAGGCGGAGTGGCTGGCTGTTGGCCGAAAAGCTAATGGCACCTAGCCTGCCTACTGTGTATAGGTTCAAGTTCCACAAAATCCTAGAACTCCATTAAAACTTTCACACCTGTCTCATTGATGCCCCCACCTCATGCCCGTGACACATTAAAAGTTGATTCTAATCCTATGGAGAAAACCCCATTGAGCTGCAGGGACAACACTAGTGGGCAGTACTGTCCAATCTGCCTAAACCCTCATCTGAATCTGGGGAGTGCTGGTTGTGTTTAGACCAGCCCATGGAGACCCCGTGGCTTGTGAATTTTTCCCTGTCTTCATTCCTTTTCCAAAGATGTGGATAAATGCATGTCCTCTGCAGAAAACTGGAGAGGCATGAAACAGATTCAAATCCAGCCATAATGCTATCATCAACCTTAATATCTGGGGCTTTTAGTTCTCTGTGTATTTTTTCATAAAACTGAATTCTGACTGCATATTGTATTCTCATTCTTCATATGTTATAAACATTCTTAAGTATCTTCATTATTTAGGGGTCTATGAGGTATTGCCTCACACTGTAAGTACCACAACCCCCTATTGTTGGACAACTGAGTGTGTGTTTCCAGTGGTTCTGTCATCCTAAGAGGGAGTGTAACAAACAGTGGCATGCTACATAGTGGGGTTGCATAAACCTACTGTTCAGCTTCTTCCAAGGGCTGAAATAATTCAGGGCAAAAATGCAAGAGACATATCAACTATGCTTCCAATTATTTTAAAGTGCATTATAGAATGAGACAGTCTACATCTCCCATAGTTTCTCTAAAGCTAATTGCCACCAATGTGTGGGTGGCAGTTGCAAACTGTATTTTCAGTTCGCTTCAAGGGTGAACTGTCCTTTGATTGAAGCTAGTAAGTACATAGGAGTGCTGAGTTCTCCATATTTGAGAATATGAATCAGGGTTATGACCATTGGGAGAGGATACTGAAGAGATGGTGTGTGCATTAACTTTAATCTAAATGATATCTAATAATGAGTATAAAGTGTGACTTCTGTTTAGATTCACATACTAGTTATTCCAAAGACTGAGTGAATGCACACCTCCACTTGGCTATGAAGCTTCTTGCCTCTTTGATATAGTGAAAAAGTTAAGCATCAAACTGCTGCGCTCTTAATTCCTCAGCAGGAGCTCAAAAAAGACCTCTTACACTCTTCTCTCTCCTCTCTCTTTCCTCTCTCCTCTCTCTTCTCTCTCATCTCTCTCTTCCCTCTCTCTTGACAAAGGGTTTCTCTGTGTAGTCTTGGCTGTCCGGGAACTCACTCTGTAGACCAGACTGGCCTTGAACTCAGAGATCCACCAGCCTCTCCCTCCAGAGTGCTGGGATTAAAGGCATGTGCCACCACCACCAGGATAAGACCAGTTCTCTTAAATCACATGTACCTCTCAATCTATATAGAGTTGCGACAGAACCTAACAATAACATTTGCCTTACTTTTGACTAAAATTTTTGTATGATCATTAAGTAGAAGTGGACTCAACCTGCTGAGGAGAGTAGAGAAGTCAGCAGACAATGACAGGTTCAAAAACTGTGTGACTCAAGAAGAATTTACAGGGCCACACCTCCACATCACTAAGTGATTCAATGGCTTAGATATGGTGAGCTCACCCAGAGCCCGTCTAGGAAAAAGTGCTTTGGGGAGGTATTCCTTTGGATTTTCCCCAAAATAGACCTGTATGATGCCAGAAAGCAGAGATAAAGAGAAGGCAGTCATGATGGGCACGTTATCAAACAAGTGACCACTATAGGCAGCTGGAACTTAACCCCACTAGGACAATCTGAGAGATGACGTAGAGTAAATGAGATGGAGTGTCAGGGGCATCTCACCTAGTATAGGATCCCTGGAGTCTCAGGGGATTCAACCAAACTCCAGCAGTCACTGGTTTGGGACTGGTCCCAGGGATAATTAGGCTACCTCCTCAGGCTGAAAGACAACCCTCATCTGTGACACACATGTGACAGCACCTGCTTCCAGTGTGTGCCTTGGACATCTCTTAAAGATTAAACAGAACTGTTCTGTATTGAGGGGAACAAACTCATCCTCCTTACTAATTTATTTTCAATAAGCAGTAAGAATTCTACCTGAAGCTGTTTAGTAAAATTCCTTCATATTCAAACCAGGCAAAATGTTTCCAAAAGCAAAGTTCTTCTCAGAGCTTGGTTATCCTGAGTAGTAAGAAAAGAGAAAAAAGAACCCTGCTAATTCAGGGTTCTTTCCGCTAAACTAAGAATTAAAATACTTTGAAAACTGCAAATCAATATATAAATGTAAGTCTTTAGCTTTAATTTAATTCAACAAATCTACACTGAGTCTGTTGAGTGGAAATTAAAGGATAATAACAGCCACTTCTGTGATTATTCTATTGTTCAAAGGTTGAATTGAATCTCAGGGACTGGTACTATTTGTAAGTACTCACTATTCCAAATAATTAAAATGCTTTTTCCCCACCCCAGTTGCAATAACCATGAAATGAGTACTGGCCAAGAGACTTCTTTGAACCAAGTCAGAACTTCATTTCCCTGTCTTCCCTATGCCACAGTCTGAACAGTTCCTCCAGCTCAGGATGAAGGGAGAGACACCAGGAAGGTGCACGCACGCACCAAAAAGGGTGCAGGCAGGGAGTGTCTCACAGCACAGTTTAGGAGCAAGCAGATGGAGAGGCTGTTCTGTGGCTCTTAGCCCATGATAATTCCAGGCTTGGAGCTGCAGCACTGGTCCAAGACTAAACCTGTGCTAAGTCTATGGCTGAAGGAGTACTTCTTTAGGAGTGTGTGGTGTGTGCAAGAGGTGGCGGTTTTCAGAGCTTGAAAGAAGATAGGGCAGAACCTCATCTTTGCTTCCCAGGCCTACTTTGCTGTAATCACGAGTCACGCATGGCTGGTGGGCCTGTAAATTCAAAAGAGGCTACTTCAACTGTGTTGGAGTTTTCTCAGAGACATATGTTGAGACAAAGGTTTGAAGCTATCTGTGAATTGCTACTGAGGATGTACAGGCATTTTTTTCATTATTCCCTAGACAACAAATTGATAGGTAACAACTACAGCATTCATATTGTATTAATTACTACAAGTCATGTAGAATGAATGGGTTCAGATGTGTCCCATCTATGGTCTGTCATCTGTATGTAGCCTAGGATGCCTACGTATGTATTC